CAGTCGGTGAACATGGCTGTACCTCCCAGGATTGTTAAACCTCTAGGCTGACGTCTCCATTCTCCACAGGAAGACCCTGAGGTCCAGAGAAGTCAGCCAGCTAGTTAGGTAGTGGTAGAGAAGAGACCGTCTCCTCTTGAGATGGTCTCATAACCTTGGCTGTTCTTTGGGCCTGGAGGAGGGGAGGCAGCAGAACTCAGAATAACAGAGCCTCAAATGTCGGATGTAAATTTGTGATTGTCTATGAATATTCGGCGACTATTTTGAGTTATTTGTGGCACTTTAGTCAGACTGGAAAATGTATTCATGTGACTATTCTGTTGGTTTAGGTGAGAAACATTTGCTTGTCTTTGTCTCCTTTTTTTAAAAAATGGAATCTATTTACTTTTCTCATGGGCACGCAAGGATGACACGCAAATTTGTGAAGCATTCCATATTTTTTGGAATCCTGGTGTGACACTCTGGGATAACACACTGGACTACAAAGTCAGTTTGAACCACAAGCTTGGCCATTCAAATTCACCAGCTGCTCCTCAGAAACCCATGCAGGGTCACTAGGACACGGAACCGGCTCAGCAGCACAACAGCATACCTTAAAAATGCCAAACCTCTTAACCCTCCGATTATTTCTTCAAAAGAGAAAATGCCGTAGCTGACACCCCCAGCAACATCTCTAACTCTCTTTCCCAAAAGAGGTTCCAAATACTGGTCATCGTGCAAAAATCAACATTATGAGAAAATGGAAGGTCAGATCACAAAATGAAGGATGACTCCACCATTGCATAACTGCCAAATTATATTATTATGGAACTGCCAAATTACATCATTGCATAACCACCAACCCACTGAGAATCAACCTAGTCAACCTGACTCATAACCGTAACCATCACAGCCAGCGTTACTCTTGCCTCAAAACCTCAGCATTTGTTACTGCCAGATATATATCACTGCCCGACATACATTGTTAATGTACAAAATAGATAGTAGACTCTTAACTGTTAGCATAAATGCAAACTGTCAGATAACTAGATAGTCTGTAAGTGGTGAGTAAGGAGTCCTGGTGTGGTGCTGTGGGTTAGTGCGCTGGAATGCAAAGTCAATTTGAACCTCAAGGTTAGTGGTTCACTCACCAGCCATGCCTAGGAATTCCCATACAGAGTTTAGGTCAGAACCAACTCAAGGGCACTTAACAACAACAACAAAAGTGAGGAAGTGGGAGAAAGATGAGGCATTTAGGAGGAATGTTTTGTGGTGTACTAAAGTATACCCAGAAGCAGTATTGTAGATTGGGAAAATGGGAGACTAGGAATTTAGGAGAAATGTTTCGTGGCTCATTAAAGCACAGCCCAAGAGCAATGAAGTTGGGTCTGGAGGAGATCGTCTCTGTGACAAGAGCAGCTGACTGTGAGTCGCTGCCCTTGGAGCCTCCCCCCATTACTGCTGCCCCACCGAGATGCACAGGGCCGGGGCTGTGCCTCCTAGACACTTCTGAAGTGTGACAGCTGGTCCTTGCCCTCATTAACTCAGAGCACAGCAGCAGTGAGGCTGGAACGTTCAAACAAGACTTCTCTGGATGTCAGGGGAGAAAGCAAAGGGGACTAGACAGGCAGGAGCAGGGAGCTGGATGGTGCCCTGAAAGATGGGACCGCCTGTGGAAGCCCCACACTGACGTTCTTAGACTCAGGAGGAAAGAGGGGGCTGGTTCTCCCCCACCAGCCCCACAGTGGAACTGTCTACACATAAGAGACAGTCTGTACATCCACACTCCTCAAATCCAGACCTGGTTTCCGACTTGATTTCTGAGTGTTGCTATAACTCTAATACCACAACTGAGTTTAAAGACTGAAGATGCATCATGGTTCTAGTGGCTGAAAGTCCTAATCAAGGTTTCAGCGGGATTGATTTCTGCTTTGGGTTCCTCAGCTCCTTGGCCATGTTCACCTGGTATCAGTTTATCTCTAGGTCTCTGCTTCTCCTTACAATTCAGAATGAGTAGGCTTAGGACACACCCTAAACTGATGGGTTGCATTAACATAACAAAGAAAATATTTCCACACAGATCACAGCCTGAGGTGTAAGGGTTAAGATTCCAACACTTATTTTTGGGAGAACATAGCACTGTGGGTTAATGCCCTGGACCGCAAGGTCGGTTTGAACTGCGAGGTCGGTGGTTCCAGCTCACCAGCTGTTCTGCAGAAACCCTATACTGGGTCACTATGAGTCAGAACTGACTCCAGGCACTTAACACTAACAACAACATAATTCAATCCATAACGTCAAACTTCTAAAATATGAGAATTCCTAAATTCAAACCCACCAACTGCCCCATGGGAGAAAGGTGAGGTTGTCTGCTTCCTCAAAGCTTTACAGAAACCTCAAGTTCTACTGTACCCTATAGGGTTCCTATGAGTTGGTTATTTTAATGTATTAAAATAGTTCTCAGACTACTCTGTGCACTAGATAGTTGTTGTTGTTAGGTGCCGTAGAGTCGGTTCCAACCCACAGCAGCCCTTTGCACAACAGAATGAAACACTGCCCGGTCCTGAACCAGTCTCACAATTGTTGTGTCTAAGCCCATGGTTGCTGCCACCATGTCAGTCATCTTGTTGAGGATCTCCTTTTTCACTGACCCTCCACTTTTTTGAGTAGGAGGTCCTTCTCCAGGGACCGGTCCCTCCTAACAATATGTCCAAAGTATGAGCGATGAAGTCTTGCCATACTTATTTCTGAGGCACATGTTGGCTGTACCTCTTCCAAGACAGATGTTTGTTTTTCTGCAGTCCATAATACTTCGAATATTCTTCTGCAACACCATAATTCAAATGCACCAATTCTTTTATGGTCTTCCTATTTCATTGTGTGACTTTCACACACACATGGCACTATTGAAAATACCATAGCCTGGGTCAGGTGCACATTAATCCTCACACTGACCTCTTTGCTCTTGAATGCTTTCTGTAGCAGATTTGCCTAATGCAATACTTTGCTTTCTTGACTGCTGCTTCCATAAGCATTGGTAGTGAACCCAAACAAAATGAAGTCTTCAACAACTTCAATCTTTTTCCATTTATCATGATGTTACTTAGTGACCAAGCTGGGAGGATTTTTGCTTTTTTTACCTTGAGGTGCAACCCATACTTCATCAGAAAGTATTTTAAAGCCTTTTTGCTTTCAACAAGCAAGGTGTGTCATCATGTTGTTAATGAGTCTTCTCCAATCCTGATGCCATGGTTTTCCTCATATAATCTAGTGCCTCAGATTATCTGCTCAACATACAGATTGAATAAATTTTGTGAAAGAATACAGCCCTGGTTCATACCTTTCCTAATTTTGAACCATTCAGTGTCCCCTTGTTCTGTTCAAACCACTGCCTCTTGGTCTAGTTCAGGTTCCTCATGAGCACAATTAAGTGCTCTGGAATACCCATTCTTGGCAATGTTTTCCATAGCTTTCACACAGTTGAAAGCCTTCGCATAGTCAATAAAGCACAGGCAAACATCTTTCTTGTAGTCTCTGCTTTCAGCCAAGATCCATCTGACGTCAGCAATGATATCCCTCATTCCACATCCTATTTGTGATCTAGCACTGGAGAGTAGCTCCTATTATTATCTATTGGTCAATAAAATGACCAAAAGCTAATATAAATTCAACAGCACTTTTATGCTTAGTTTGTTTTCTAACAGTATCTACATGCATTAGGGGAATAAAATAGTACTTACATGTAAATGGCATATCATTTATTGAGCCCAGCAATGATGCTTGGGGATACATGGATCTGTGGGCCCTTGGGAGGACTCTATGCCTCCAGAGCACCAGGCGCAGGGGCTGGTTCCCTACCCCCCGGGGTTGTAAAGAGGAGGCTGCACCCTCCCTCCTGGCAGAGCACTGACCTGCTTTCCAGGTGACTGCCTGGTAAAATGGCATCTCCCACCAGGTGAGCCCCACCCCACCCCCATCTCCATCCATCACCATTAGCCTGACCTTGCACAGTGACAAGCCCTGTTTCCTGACACAGGAGCTGGGACAGGCTTTGACAACACCTAAATACCTGACCAATCTTTCCCACTGGCTTTCTGTCAAAACCTAGGTGCTACTTTAGGGGTGCATGCAAATGGATTCACCATGCTCATTCTCTGAGTGGCCCCAGTATTTGTCACAAGCATCTGAGCTTTGTAGAATGAGCTTTCTCCTAATGCCTTCCACCTTCCAATCCTTTGTCACCCCTAATTCAGCTCCAACGTCTCCTCCCCAGAAAGGCAGTTCCTGACAACCAGCTCCCCTGCTTTCTCTTTACCCTATTGCTTTACTCGGGATTTCTTCACAGAAACCGTCAGTAGCTGGTATGACCAATTTGTTCCTCAGCCTGCCTGCCTCCCCCCACAAGAATGGAAGCTCCATGAGAGCAGGGTCATTCCCAGTGACAGAAGAGAGCCTGGCCCTGAGCAGGATCTCAGTACATGTAAATGACATGCCCAAGATCACACAGCAAATCAACCACAGGGTTGGAATCTGTCTCCCCTTAACACCTCCATCATGTTCTTTCCAATATTGGGTAAGTAGAGCCATGACTTGAACCCAGTACTCCACAGCAAGTACTTGCCACCAGGTCTTACCATCTCCCCCAAATACAGCCTCGTGCTGGTTGGCTTGTCGGCTAGAATGGGGTTCTAGAGTGGCACTGCCCAGAATGGTAGCTACTAACCACATGTGGCTAGTTAAATGCAAATGACTTTCAATGAACTAGAACTGAACATTCAGTTCCTCACTCACACAGGCACATGTGGCTGGTGGCTATTGCTAGACAGGTGCAAATTCTCCATCGCTACAACAAGTTCTTGGAGATTGCTGCTCTCGACAACAGACCTTGTCTGTCTTGGTCACCATTTCCCTAGGATTTAGAACAGTGCTCAGTAAATCTTTGTTATTAAATGACTGAGGATCACATAGCTGAGAGGCCCCTGCTCACCTCTGATACTCACCTGTCTCTTCTCCTCCCTTAGGGAAGGATGAAGCCAGCAGTGTGGAGGTCACATGGCCAGATGGCAAGATGGTGAGCAGAGGCGTGGCCAGTGGGGAAATGAACTCAGTGCTGGAGATCCCCTACCCCCAGGACGAGAATAAACTTCAGGACCCAGCCCCACTGGAGGTGGGCAAAGGCATCGGGCCTCATACGCAGCATCAACTGAAAGAGCCACGACATCCTAGGACCCATGGGCTGAAAAGCTGGGTTCCCAGGGCTCTGTACAGTTAGACTCTAGAATGGTAGAAGTCTTCTTATCAAAGGGCAAGCCTCCCTCACCATCACACCCACATCTCTCGGACCCCTCACCGAAACTCTGAGATACCGTCAGAGCAGGTTATTTTTATACCCCTTTCATAGAGAAAGAAACTGAGGCTAAAGAGGGAACCCACCAAGGGCTGCACAGGCCGTGTGAGCAGAGTTAAGAAGTTGCCCAAGTCTCCCTGCCCTCCTGGTTCTTTCCAAGTCTCTAGCAAGGCCTCCTGTTGACACCAAGGATGGGGCTCAGATCCCGTGGTGGAGCTTCCGAGGGCTCTTGGAGGAGTGGCTCTGGACCATATTTGGAGTGTCCTGACTCTGACTTGGTTACAAATAACAGGACCCCACGCCGAAGACAGGAACTTGTAAGCAGGCTGCTGCTATAGCTCACAGATGTCAAGGAAAGGGTGGGTGGGGGCCAGGCAGCGCAACAGCCCCTTTGCTGGAGTGCATCCATGCCATGGCTTTGCAGGGCACGGGGTACTCTTCCCAGTAGCCATCAGCCTTCATTGGTATGGACAGACATTTTCTGTCCTATGTAAAATGTTATGCTCTAAGCCCCCATCCAGCCACCAGGCTGCCATATCAGACATCCTCACACAGCATTGGGGTGACCAGACCCCCAATTGGTTGGTCTCAAATCCCAGACTGTGGTCCTTTCTTTGTCTCAGCAGCCCTAGTGAGAAAGCTGGGTCACAGTGTGGCTCACAGTATGTAAGAGCGGTGTGTAGGGGTGGTAGCAGGGAGTGAGCGTCTCCTGACCCTTATCACATTTTGCCCCGACTGAGGCCCAGCCTCATCCTGGGCCCACACTACAGGAGAGATGGGGTCTGTGGGGCAGCATCCCAGCTCTGGCATGTGAATCCCATGTGCAGAGGAACAAGCAGGAATTTGAACTGTATCCATTCTAGTCCTCCTACCCCACCCAGTCTCCTGTTGTCAGTACAAGGGAAGGGGCTCCCCCCAGGCCCAGAGCGGGGGTCAGGGTGACAGCAGCTCTGTGGCTGTGACTATGAGGGGACCCGATCTGAAACCTTCTTACTCATAAGTGTCTCTGCTTCTGCCCACCTTGCAGTGCGGCCAAGGATTCTCCCAGCAGGAAAATGGCCATTGCATGGGTGAGTTGCCTGCAGGCACCAGGAGATGGGGCAGAGGCCAGGCAAGGCCCAGGCTGTAAACAAGGGGGTGGGAAGGTGGGAGGGGAGTATGTTGTTTATCCCTGAAGCTCCAGATGCCAAGTCAATCCACCAGGTGACTCACCAAGGTGGCTGTGATGTTAGCAACCCTGGGCTGACTCACCCGGCTGTCCTGGACTTGGTAGAGCTCCCTTGTCACCAGGGCAGAGAGTGAATGGGGCAAAGGAGCAGTGCATGCAGGGAGACCTGGCTACCGGGGGTCAGCTGCAGGATGTGCCTGCCCACCCCACAGACAGCTGGCAGCTTCAGCTTGACCAGCGGTGAAGCCCCAAGTACAGGGCTGGCAGGCAAAGTTGGATGTCACCAGAGGACATTTAGGTAAAACAGGCTGTGGTCACAGCACAGAAGGGAGATTGAAGTCTCATGTACTGGACAGAGGGATCCTGGGGTGGAAAGGGAGGGGTAGGGCGGGGGGGCTACAGCACTACCAGGACAACAGCTCTTGAGGGACCAGTGACCTGAAAGTCCACAAGGGCATGAGAAGAGAAAGGGCAGCCCTGGAGAAGTTCAGCATCCAGGAGCCCTTCAGCTTTCGTCCCAGCAACCGGCAGGGATAGGGCAGGAAAAAGATGCCTGCCTTCCTTTAGACTCTCAAGTTTTAGACAGATAGTCTGGAGGACTTCTGCAGAGTGGACCTTGGAGCTGAGATTTCCAGGAGAAGAAGGACCCAGGCCTGCAAAATCTGAGGGGAGAGCTTTGCTGGCAGTTGGAAGAGCAGCCACAAAGACCATGAGGTCATAAAGTCTCTGTGAAAGTAATGAGAAGGAAGCGGGCTATGGTCTGTCAAGTCTTACAGGTTCCTGTACAGACTCCGGAATCTGTTCTTAGGGCCCTTAGACGCAGAAGAGAGACTTTGATGTGATTAAAGGTCTGACTGATGAACTGCAGAGTGGGTTGAAGGGAAGAATGGCAGCCCAGAGACCACTGCAGAAACCCAGACCAGAGCTGGGGGCTTTGGAATCAGACAAAGAATGAGAAGTGAAACATGAGAGGTGTACTGTAAAGTGAAGTGTCTTCGAGTCAGTTCCAACTCATAGCAACCCTACATAGGGTTACCGAGGAGCAGCTGGTGAATTTCAACCACTGACCTTGTGGTTCAAACTGACCTTGTGGTTTAGTGTTTTATCCCACAGTGCCACACTAGGACTCCTAGAACTGATGTTAAGTTGGTTCAGACTTGTAGTGACCCTGTATAGGGTTTCCAAGAGCAGCTGATGAGTTTGAACTACCAACCTTGCAGTCAAACCGACCTTGTGGTCAAGTGCTTATCCTAAATCACCACACCAGGACTCTGGGAGAAGTGATGGTTGTTATTAAGTGCCATCGAGTCGGTTCTGACCCATAGCGACCCTGAACAGGGTTTCTGAGGCTGTAAATCTTTATGGGAGCAGAAAGCCTCATCTTTCTCCCGCGTAACAGCTGGTAGTTTCGAACTGCTGACCTTGCGGTTTACAGCTCGATTCGTAACCACTATGCTACCAGGGCTCCGTGGGAGAACTGATAGGACCTGCTATTTAATTGTGCACAGGGGTAAGGAGAAGGAAGGACTCAAGAATACCTGGATTTTTGATCTGAGCAATTAAGTGGATCCGGGGCTGGGGCCGGGGTGGGGGGTGTGTGTGGAAGAGGTGTGGGGACACATTACATTTGAGATGCACATTAGACATCCAAGTAGAACTTTCAGGTAGATCATTGGAGGCATGTGAGATAAAGTTAACAATAGCAACATGTACAGCCAATCACCTAGAGAAAGTGGTAAAGAGAGGACAAGACCAGGGCCAAGCCTGAGCTCCCCACCACATAGAGGACAAGTATAGGAGGAGCCAGCTAAAGGGACTGAAGTGAGGAAACTGAGGCCCAGAGAGAAGGGACTCACCCACCCAAGGTCACAGAGTGGGTGGGGTAGGCAAGCCACCCCCAGCGGAGACTGGTGCCTCTGGTGAGTGGCTGCCCTTCCCTTTCAGATACCAATGAATGCATCCAGTTCCCGTTCGTGTGCCCTCGGGACAAGCCTGTGTGTGTCAACACCTATGGAAGTTACAGGTGCCGAACCAACAAGCGGTGCAGTCAGGGCTACGAGCCCAACGAGGACGGCACAGCCTGTGTGGGTGAGTGGGGCCCCGGCCACAGTCCAGCAGCAGAGGGAAGGTGCCTCCCATTGGGGAGCCCCAGGTAGGCCCCAGATTCAGGTCCCCATCCGTAGTCTTTCCTGGCTGGCTGGAGTCTCCTTAGACCCACTCTGGGCCTCCAGGGAAGGTCATCATGGCCGAGGCCCCACAATCACTACCACAACCTGAAGGGCCCCAGGGTACTATGTCCTGGTCTAAGGCTTCTCCACCCTTCCACCCCCTTCTCATTTTTCCCCTTCCCACATTTCCTAAAATAAATGCTACCTAAGGGCAGCCTGTCTTTACCTACCTGGAATATCAACTGTCTCTCGTTTGTCTGAATTTCTGAACTGGTATTTGTCTTCTTCCTCCCAAACTCCTTCCTCCACCTCCACCCCCCACCCCGCCCACCCCTTTCTCCTTTTCCCATTTTTTTTTTTTTATCTCTCTCCCCATCCTTTTTGCAGCTCAAGTGGCCTTTTTAGGTGGGTACCCCTCTGCAGCCTTTAGACTCTCTGAACCTCACTCTTGGGCCTCATATCTTTCCTTAGGCCTTGGACTTTGCCTTCAATTATATGCACTTTAAATCCCATCAATAAAAAAAGAAAAAAATACAACAAAACTAACAACCTTTGTGGAAAACTAAATCTCTCTCCCGCTGCCTGTCTCTCCACGCCCAGTATCTTCTGCTGCGTGCTCCTTCAGAATGGACAGCAGGGGTGGCCATCTTTGAAAAGGGAAGTTTGAGAGATACTGACACTTAGTTGTTTGTGAAGCCTTTCTTTGCATGTTTTTTGAAAAAACAGAACAGGAAAATCCCCGCTAAGTCCCATCCAGTCTCCCTCAGCCCTTCAGAAGAATCAAGATAGCCCTGTTTTTCATGTATCCTCCAGTGTTGTGAGCGGTTTATTTTGCCCTTAACAAAGATGGCTCCCAGGTGGCGCTTGCTTGGTTGATTTAACAATGTATCATGTGCCTGCTGGTTTGGCCTGTGCTGTTTCTGCTTTGTGCACCCTGACTCCTTGTGCAAGAGAAAGCCTTATGGGGGTTGGTGGTGTTGCTGGGAGGGGCTCATGATAAAAGTGGTAAAGTTTAAACTTGCTAAGTTTTCCAGCCTCCCTCCTGGAGAAAGTATGCCAATAAACTCTCTGTTGGATATTAGTGCCTAGCTGATGGGGGTGGGGATGGAATAAATAGGGGTGCATCTGGGGCAAGGAGATACTGATTGGAGCACTTGCTGTAGCCCTTCCACCATGTGGCACTTGGAAAACAAATCATAATACAGGGAAAACACCCACATCTGGGCGTGAGCAGAGGTTTGGGTGTGTGTGTGTGGCAATATTCACATTTGGGGAATTAAGATTTGGACCAGTGAGGAACATGGGACAAGCAAGGGGCAGACAGGAGGGAGTAGTCTTGGGCATTTTTTTTTACCTTAAGGAAGTCACATCTCCACTCGAGGCCTTTGTTTCCCTAATCTAAATAATAAGAGGTGGGCTGGGTTGCTTTCCTTTCTAAGACCCTTTAATTTGTGGCTGGCCATAGGCACAGCTAGTCTCTCAGATTTCTAGAAAGAACTTTACAACTCTACATGCTTGTGAGTGTGGAGACACACACACACACACACCGGAGCCAGCACACTCCTCAATAATGCAACACTGACCCGCCTTGGTATTGATGGTTCTTACAGACCTTCCTTATAAATTACAGCTCTATTCTTCATGGGAGAAAAAAGTCATCCCAAGATATAATAAAATCACACTTAAGAATGCAGCCAGCCTTTCAAAAACATATTTAACAAAACAAGCAGTCACTTTCTGATATAATAATAATACTCCAAATAAATCACAAAATATGAGTTCCTCTTAGTACTGTTTTTACACTCAAAACAGGAGCTGAAATGAAAAGTTCTAAAATAAAAACAGCTACAGTTTCACTGAAAAGCATATACCAGCTGAAAAAAACTGCTCCACTTCTGGGTAGCCCATTCCTCTGTGTTGCTGTTAGCATTAAAGATCTGAAAGGGTCCCAGGGATACAGCTCAGAAAGAGGAAGTGATTTGTCTACGGTCAGGCTGGAACCTTTGCTACCATCCTGTCTTGTCTCTTTTCAGTACGGTAACATGCAGCTCTGTTACTATTCAGACTCTATTCCCTAGTCATTCTGGAAACTGCTGCTCTTTTAGAAATCAAGTAGATTGAAGATAGGGCGATAAATAAAGCCCAGCATCCACAGTGACCACTGAGAGGACACACACACACACACAACACAAGAAAAAGTGTCCGGGAAGGCTAGTGAGACACCTTGCTGTGGAACAGGACATATGTGTGACAGCAGACCTTAAAGGATGCTTTGTAAATAGTTTGTAATCACCCAAAATTCCAGTACATTGAATTCTGTGTAACCGGGTATGTATTTATGGGTCAATCGACCCTACTTAGTGGAAGGGCCAAGGGAACAGCAACAAGGAGTTCTGAATGCCCCTGGCTGTTAAGAACACAACTTCAGTTTCCAACGCTAGGGTAAGAAGATTTTCCATTAGCTTCATTCATTCCTTCAATAACTATTGGTTGAACACCTACTATGTGTGCTGGGCTCTGGGCATACTTGCTGCCCCACTGCCTTCCCTCCAGCCACATGACAGAACCAAGAACATAGGATGGTTCTGAGGGGCTTTCTGAAAAGTCTAGCTAAACTTTTGGAGTGTTGTACCAGAAAGTAAGTTTTCTATTATCCCTTCATGTATTCAGCAAGCAAGCACTTACTAACCGTCTACTGTGTGCCAAGCACTAGGTCCCTCCCATGAGGAAGTCAAGTCCCCTGGTCCCCAGATGCTTGTGTTGCAGGAAATACAAGGCTACCAGGTATATAGATCCAGTAGGCACTGACCTAACTCAACACTGTTGTCATTCTTGGTGGTGTTGAATCAGCTCTGACCCATGGTGACCCCTGGTACAACAGAACAAAAACACAGTCTCGTCTTCTGCCATCCTCACAAACCTGAGCGTCGGGAGTCATAGGGTTTTCATTGGCTGATTTTGAGCAGTAGTTTGCCAGGCCTTTCTTCCTAATCCATCTTAGTCTGGAAGACTTTGCTCAAACACCACTGACAAGCAGGTGGTGGCTGCCTACGAAGCGCTCTGACCGGAAACGGAACCCAAGTATTCTGCATGAAAGGCAACAATTCTCCCACTAAACCTCCACTGCCTTCATTACTCTACATTGTGAATCGATGCTGACTCTTGTCAATCCCATATATGCACACTACAACTGCTCTGGTGGGTTTTCAAGTTTGTGACATTCTGGAAACAGATCATCAGACCTGCCTTCCAAAGCCAACCTTTCAGTGAGTAGTCGAATGCTTAACCATTTGTACCAGTCAGAGAGTCCAACTCAGCACTGCCTGCCCTGGTGGGCTAGCGAGTCCAGGCGTCCTGGACCAAATCGCTCAAGTTCAGTGCATTATTGGTCTGTCCTCTACCAGCCCTCAGATGGGACGGAACAGGGCCACCTGAGCTAGCCAAGCTCCAGATACAGGGCAGCAACTGGCTTCCTATGTCCTCCCTTCTTCTAATTCTGTTTCCTCTGCTGTCCACAGGGACCAGCCTGCACTCTCCTGGCCCTTGTCCTTCTATCCTAAGCAATGACAAGTTAGTCTTTTCTTTGTCCTCTAACCCCACTCAGGCTCCTCCATCTTTGTTCACTTATACTCAACTTGAATCCATAACAGAAACACCAAGTGCCTTCAGAGGCAAGGAATGCAAAGGAATGAAATGGGCTAGGAAGGGATTACCTAAATAGGGGAGTTCACGCCCCAACTGAACAGGACTGCTAGTTCTCATGCCAGCCAAACATGTTGCTGAAGCTTCCAATTTTTCAAGAAAAGACAAATAATACGATTTTGTTTCTGGACAAGGATACACACTCTTCTCAGGAATGTACCCCCTTAAAATGAGAATAATAGCTTACATTTGATTAACTCAGTGTACCTGGGTGGGATCTATGCTCTTTTCAAGAATTCACTTGCTTAATCCTCATAACAATCCCAAAAGGAAAGTGCAGTAATTATCTCAGTTTTGAAGATAAGCTAAGTGGTGTGTCTGAGGTTGCACAGGTGGGAGAGATAAAGGCAGGATTCGATCCCTGGCAGTTGGGTTCCTGGTCTCTGCTCTTAACCACGCTTTTTCACTGGGGGTAGAGCCTCAATCTCTCTTGCTACCCAGAGTCAAGGGCTCAGTGTAGGAAGAGAGAAGCAGGGATTGCTGGATAGAAGACCAGGGATCTGAGGCTGCCTCCCCATGGTCATGTTCAAGACTGCAAAAAGAGGTAGCCACTCCGTGGATGCAGAATTGTAATTCACCCACCCAGCCTGCTGAAGCATCTATTGCGTTGTCAGCCCTGCTCTGGGAAGGTGCCATTCTGAGGGCCAAGAGTCTGATTATGTGTCACTCTGGCTGCTATGGCCCCCTCCCAGGGTCTGGGCATCACCCCCAGACCAGCATCACTCGACGGTGGCCCAAGCAAGAACTGCCCTCCGGTCTCCAAACAGAGGAGTTACTCCCCTCTCCAGAATCACCCAGACAGGAGGCTGAGCCCTCGACCTCCTCAGGCAGCATGTTGAGTGTTTCTAACAGATTTCAGACCACTTCATCCAGAGCCCAGGAAACAAGCTGGGTCCCTCCCATTCTCTCCCTCCCTAGGGTCACCCATGGCCTCTCTCGTGTGTGGGCCAGACCCTAGCCACAGCCTGTCAGGGGCTGGTAGCATGTCTCCTTAGCAACTGCCTCCTCCTGGAAAGAGGAAGGAGGAGGGCAGGAGAGAGCATGGCTGATTCACTCCAAGATAATGCCAACCACCTCTCTCAGCGGCTTGTCCTCGCAAGGAACTGATGCTGTTGAACAGTGAGCCGGTCAAAGGGTAGAACACCAGAGGGAAAATGAGAAGCAAGAAGAAAAAAAAAAATGTCCTTGGGGGAAGGAGCTAACATTTACAGAATGCCTACCATATGCCAAGAACTTTACATATGTGTCTTTATTAATCCTGATATTCATCCTGTCCGATGAATGTTATTAGTCGGTCTTGTTACTGAAGAAAAGTAAGTTACCCAAGAACATGCAACTAGTTAAGTGGCAAAACTGTCATTCGAACTTCTAACTATCTGGCTCCAAAGTCTGTGTTGTTCAACATGATGCTCTTTGGTTTCCAGATTATGGACAATTGGACAAATACACTGAAACCCTACTACGTACTGGACACTGTTCTAGAGGCTTGGTATTGGTATATATGAGATTCAGTCTAAAGTCACCGAAATTCTTATTAAACAGAAACATCCAAATGTGAAGCTGTTGTTTCTCTACATCTCCTCCCTCTAGGTCTCCAGTCATTTGAAGGCGGTGTTTCCCTCTCTCTCTTCTCCATCCCTGAAGAATTCTGCACTCTCCCACTTACACCAGGTCAAATGACTCCCCTCAAGGGACTCAAATGGTGTTCCTTTGACATGTTCTTTGAGTTGGGGAACAAAAAGAAATCTGAATGGGCACGATTGGGGCTGTAGGGTAGATGGGGTAAGGTTCCCAACAAAATTCTCCTAGGACAGCCTTTGCTACCCTTGAAGAAGGAGCAGGTACATTGTCATGATGGAAAAAAA